CACACACACACACACACACACGTACACATGCATACACATATACGCACACAGACACACATGTGTACACAACATGTACTATTTAGAATAGATTTGATGAAATTGAGGAAGGAGTGTTGGTGGGGGTCAGGTGGATAAGGAAGAAAAGAAGAAAGTCGTCAGGCCTATCAATCCATCGACCCCCACTTCTAATCAATCCTCTTTCTTCCTCTCTTCAAATAGTTCATTCATCCCAATCTTCTCTTCAAAATAAAATGAAAGGAAAAAAAAAATCTCCGATAAATTTATATATAGCTTTTCTTTCAAGTCTGAGAATTTTTTTTTTCTTTTTTTTTTGCATATATCATATTTCTCATATTCTTTTCTTTTCTTTTTAATCTTTTCTTTCCCTTCTTTCTTACTTTCCTTCAATCTTTTTTTCTTCTTCCTCTTCAAAATTATAACCACTCATTTGTAATGCTCGTAATCAATATTCATATCATTTCTTCCATTCGTTTTTTCTTTGCCTCTTTGTTTAGGATCAATTTTTGACTGCAAAAAAAAAAAAGAAAGTGAGAGAGAGAGGAAGAAAAAGAGAAAGGAAAAAAGAGAAATCTTTTGTGGTCATTTTGTGGTCAATTTTTGTCTCTTCATTGTCGTAATGACCAATGGTCATCATATTTATTAGTCGTTCATTCACATCTTAAGCGCTTGTATGTTATGATTGATAAGAATATGTGTGAATTTTTTCTTCCACTTTTAAGATCTTCTTTCAATTGTTGTTATTCATCGAAATTATAAGTGAATTTAAGGATTTTTTTTTTACCAATTAATTTAAATTTTTGTATATTTTAAGGCTTCTTTTTAAATATTCATTGTATTTCTTGTGCAGAGAAAAAAGAAATTTCCTTCTTTTTAAAAAGAATATTTATTTTTCTTTTTCACTTAATTTTGAGTAAACTTAAATGATTTACAAATGATATTCAAAAAGGTCTCTTTCACTTTTTTTTTTCCTTTCCCCGATCATTTTCTATTCAAAATCATTTTCCATTCAAATTTTTTTTTTCGCACTTTAAAAAAAAGTGCAGTAATGTTGATGAGAAGAAAAAAGAAATATATGCACTATTTTGCTTATATGAATTCTTTTGAAAATATCAAAATTTTATTTGAAAGATAAAATTGAATGGTAATTGATCAATGATCAATTAGCTTTGATTATATGAAAGTGAAAATTTGCTGATTGTTTATGGTTCTTCCTTTTTTTTTTTTTTTCAATTTCTCAATATCATCAAAATATTCCATATGTTTATTACTTTTTTGTCTATTTTGATTATCATCATCATTTGCAATAAAAATTAAACTTCCAACTTTGAAAATAAAAAGTCTTCATTTCTACTGTTTGTTAAAAAAAAAAAAAATTTATATTGTTGCATACGTTTTTTGTTAAATGATGATAAAAGAGAAATTGGAAAATGAATATTATTTTAGAATTAGTTCCTAATTATATTTGTGTATGTGTGTGTGTGTGTGTGTGTTTGTGTGTGTGTGTGTG